CTAGCAGAGAAAATTTGTCTAAGCAAGAAGCAGGGCGCCTCAGAGGGGTCTGTGCACACGTGGTCCACAAGCGTGTTCCATGGTCCACAAGCGTTTTCCAATCAGCAGGTCAACATTCCAGCAGTGTCTGCGCACACCTTGTGATGAGTTGACAGGGGCACAAAAGGGTTCTAATGGAATGAATGATCATTACTGGTTGGTCACTTGGTAAAACTTGAGGACTAGAGGGAAGCATCATCCTTTGTAATTCAAGAACTTAACCAAGGCATTATAGATATGATACCAACTGTTGAAAGTGCAATGTGCATCTTAAGTTCAGGATCAGCTTCTGAGATACATATCTCTCAAAACCTACACCTGAGAATCAGTTGAGGAACTGGCAACAAATGTCAACATCTTTACCCAGGGTTTGCTGGGGGGTACTTGAATGAGCAACTGCCAAGCACATGCATTTATTTATAGAACACTTATAAGACAGAGGTGGGTTGAAAAACTACAGGGACCAAGAGTTAATAAATAAATAATCAGAAACAAAGCATTTCTTAAGCATGCTGAAATTGATAGACATATGGAATTAATTTTTTACATTATTCTGAAAAGCAAGGACATTTAAATTTGGGATATTGGGTGGATCTACTCAGATATGGCCTTATTTAATGCCACTGACTTCAGAATATTGCTACAAATGCCCTAGAAGTACTGCTCCATCTTGTATTCCAACCCTGATTTATCACTTCAAACTGGAGACAGGACTTCAGTTACTACTGAAATGGTCCTCGTCTCAGGGAAAACTGTTTTAATTTTTTAAGTGTCTACACATGGACTTTTTGAAAGAGGACAGAAAAGTGTTACCTTCTGCCAGCAACTCCAGTATGTAATTCTGGAAAAATTCCATACCTAGCATTTTACTTATCACTACACATAAATATTGTAATGTTTATACAAAACTGTGCATGCCAGTTATTAAGGAAACAGATCTCATATAAACTTTGCTATGGGGCTTAGCACTGCAAAACTGATACACATAAGGAACTTTTAGCATCTACTCTTGCATTATACTTAGATAGATTTTTATATACTTCCGTACCACAGAGCTGGGAGCTCTGGTAGCATAGTGCCTAAAGCACCTGACTACTAATCAGAAGGCTGGTGATTCAAACCCACCAGCCACTCATCGGAAGGAAGATGGGGCAATCTACTTCCGTATTGATACTGCCTCGGAAACCCAAGGAGGGGTCACTATGAGTTGGGTCCAACTCGATGGTACATAGTAACAACAGTAACAGCAACCACTAAGCTATAATAGCCATATTGTATTCCAATGACATTTTCTTCACCATTTCCTTCAGTAGAAAGGAACTCCTACAAGAGTAGGGATCATGTCTTAATTCTTTTTTTGTATTTTCCAGTTTAGTACACAGTATAGTTACTATCCTTTTAGCAACCACTTTTCTGTGGAAGCGATTCCATTAGAAGATCTTTTTTCTCCAGCTATCTCTTTTGCTACTCTCTCTCCAATTCCTTTTTTTTCCTTAAACCTCCAATGTAGCTATGAACTACTAAAGTGTGTGCCCATCCCAAGAGAATACTGAATATGGAATATGGAGTAAAATGTACAGAGGAAGTGGGATACTTCCTGTGAGGGCCTGGCTTTCTTTGGGACCTAAATTAGGCTTGGACTTCTTATCTGTGTTTTTACTGACCAGAAAAGAATATAATCCTGGTAACCTTTTAAAAAATCTCTTCTAGTTTCAGTAAGTTATTGAAAGGGAAAAGAAAATCTGGGAAGGAGGAAAGGATAATAGGATGAATTTTTCTGTCATTTCTGTTATTCTAACAACACCGTTTACCATCTTAAGCTGGGGGACAGAGGGAGAGGGGCTTTCTCTTTCTTTACCTGAACCAAATTATAAATAGGAATCTATGACTCTATTAGCAACAAAAACCAAATCAAATCACAATACAACCTAAATATAAATCTTAAGATTGCACTGTAATCAACCACACCAATTATATCTTTTGACTGCAGCCACAGAAGCAAGCACAAGCATTTGTTTAAAGAGTTGAAATATTTTAGGCAAGTAAATGAATGAAAAACAATCCAAGGAAGTTATAAAGTACATTCAACTATTTCAGTCCAATTCCACATTCCATTGTTCTTTGTGATTTAATATCCAGGATATATGAATATCCTTCACATAATTAAGACTGACCCAGTAATTATTTTGGGATTCTTAAACACACTGCATATTGAATAAATACACAGAAATAGAAACAAATATAGCTTTAAACATTCTATGTAGGACTTAACCTATGTATTTTTGGGGTTCTCTCAGTCATGACATTTTAACTCTTTCCACAATACCTTTAGCAGAAAGACTGAAATTATTTCCAGACAGGAAGCCAAGCACTTAGAATGTTTACAAACTTATTATCTGAGATCCTCATTACAAAACAAACAAAACCTCTCAGAACTCAGGATATGGTCTTCAGAAACTTGAAGGTGTGGCCAAAATAAACAATGGGATATCTCGATTAAACTTGAAGGTGTGGCCAAAATAAACAATGGGATATCTCGATTGTCTCTTCTCCATCAAAACCTTTAAAGTTATTTTTATTCAGTAGTACATCCAATAATCAGCTTAATTCAGAAACTAAAGAAAAAGGACACAAGAATTTTTAAGGGCTTAAATATATTTTTATATTGATATGCTGTGTCTTTCTACTCTAAAATAATACATTACTATTGATTACATACAGGATGAGGTGAGGTATTTGTAAAATATCTGGTAAAAAATAATTCATATACAGTATTCTACATGAGATGGAATCTTATGAACCTTTAGGTCTTCTGAAATGTTAAATTGATTATCTAAATTAAATTGCCCTGAACGGACTTACAGTTGTTCCCGAAAACCATGTTAAAAAAGAAAGGATCTTACATTTTCCCAGAATTTGTGTAGAAAAGGGAAATCACATATATTGGCAATTTCTATTTCTCACATCCAAGTAATGCATTCACACAGTCAGGACCTCTATGTTTAGCATAAAAAGAAATTAAAAAAACCATTGGATTAGAGATCTAAAATCTCTCAGTACTGGTCAGGATAACTCACTAACACCAAAGAAATTCCAGTGGTCAACAGTCTTGAAAATGCTTTATTGAAATGTGTGACTTATGTGCAGAAGATGTGTTTGAAAAGACCACAGCTTGAAAAGTGGGTTTTGAAACTTCTAAACAACCAATTGAAAAAAAAAAAAAAAATCCCTACTGGAGTTGACTTCTAGTATGACCAGAAGCCTGATGTAAAATTTTCCTTGAAAACATTTTCCATTACAGAAACTAAAGAAAACAAAGCTATCATTATATTTGGAAATCGTCGGAGTTTGAAGTTTCAGAGGAGAAGCGACAGTTTTTTGACATGTGGGGTGACTTCTTTTTGGTTACATTTGGATGAACATGGACTTCACAGTTCTCGGAAGAACACTGTAGGGTGTTCAGTCTGTATGCTTGTCGTGTTGAAGAAACGAAGAACACAGGAAAGGAAAAGATGAGGGCAGAAAGAAGAGACTGAGAAAAGGGCTCAGAGAAAAGAGAACTGGAACTAGACATGATTAGGTTAAGTCTAGGTATAAATTTATCAGAAGCTGTGCGCACCTTTTTTAAAAGTCCTAAATTTACATTCCAAAAACTGCCTCCCAACCCCCAAACCTGCTTTTGTGAAAGGCTATGCACAAAAATCTGAAACAGAAAATAAAAAATAACCCAGCCCCTCCAAACCCCAAAAAGCTGTACATTTTTTTTTTTACATACAGGATTAATAATATAGGCATATAGGTGGCATGATTCAATTAAAAGGCTTTACTTTTTATGCCAAAAAAAAAAAAAAAAAAAAAAACAATAAATAAAAGGTACTATAGTTAGCATTAAGAATTTGGTTGTAATGTATCAACAAAGTCTGGGAAGGCAAATCCTCAAAGCTCTCCTGATCCTGATCCGTCTCAGCAAACTAAGAAGCAAATACATAAATAACGCAAGATATGACTGAGAATGTGAGATTTTGTTTTAAAACAAAGACAACATAATTCAGGTTAACTTTGTTGAACAGTGAATAAATGAATTCATCTACACCTGAATAAAACATATTTAACAATTGAAAAAATTTTAAACAACCACGAAAAGTAAAAACTTTAAACAAATATGAACAGGATTTGTTTTTAGGGCACACAAATGGCCCTGCAGCAGATTCCGACAGTAGCTTTACTGGTGCGTCTTCTATTGATGCGTTAAAGAGACAGGCTGAGCTCCACACAGGTAAGATGACTAACAGAGCAACAGGACAGTCACACAGGGCGGAGCGCAACACCCGGCTTCGGCTAGTAACCCCCAGATTTCACTGCAGAGCTGGCTTTGTGTGTAGGAGGCACACAAAGAAAGATGATTCAGGCAGACATTATTCAAAAGCTACTTCGGCATGTGACTCTTTTGTCATGTAACCATTGAATAATGTTTGGGAAAGCTTTGGGCTTTTTTTTTTTTTTTTTTAATATTATTTTAAGTTTTACTCCTTGTATTTAATTTTTTAAATAACAAGGTCACTAAAACTCATGCACGCTGCAAAAAACCTCATGCAGTAGTTAAGGTAAACCATCCAAGCAGTTTTTATTCATTAATATTCATAAATACACACAGCAGCTTCATTAGAGATTTCAATTTTCCTTTCAGTTTGAATGTGGAGTATTAGGAGAGCCTTTTGCATGTCAAGGTACAGGAAGCAGAGATCACCCCTGCACTGCTACCTACATTTACCTGCTAGAAGTAAAAATTAGTTAAGTGGAAATGATTATCATATATATTTTCTCTCTTCCTTTTGAATGTACACAATGTAACAAGAGTGACAGACCTGAAATTACAATCACCAAACAAACCCAAGATAGTTGTTGTCCACTTTCATTGGCAAATACAGCACAGAGGACATTGTCTGCGAATTGGGATGTCATCAAAGAGGAGGTGGTGGAGGCTCATTTCCTTTATTACTCTCTTTTAAATTTAGGTTTTCTAAAGCAACATCTAAAGGCATAATATCTACACAGCCCATAGCACCAAAATCTGCCATCTCCCCCCGTTCATCCTCATCTGAGGACGAGCTCTCTTCACGCACTAAAGTGGATAGAAGGAGCTCTTGGACAAATAGGCTGCGGTCCGCACGCTCGCTTTCCATGGACTGACGCTCTGTTTCAGACATTTTAGGATCATTCAACCTGTGTAAGTTAAAAACAAAAAACTTTATTGGTAAAACATCAACGAACAATGGCATGGCCAATTTCTACAATACCCTCCACTGTGCAAGCTTACAGTTGACAAAATTCAGACCTGAGACATAATACCAGATTATCCTATTCTAATTTATAACCTTAATTATGTTGCAATAAATTCCCCACACTCCCAGCAATACTGTTACCCTAGGGTGCAAATTTATGCTTTAGTTAGTGATTCAACAAGAAAAAAAAAAAAAAAAATTAGACTCCTCCCATTCTCTCCAGAGAAATCCGAGGTGAAAATTTTTCTAAAGAGAAACAAAATTTCTAACAGATTACAAACTCTGGGAAGTAGTGATGTCCCTAATCAGAATTTCATCTGTGGGTAGTAAAAAGAAGAAAAGTAGCAACCCAATGGAGTATGTGTCCCATTGCCTCCATGAACAAAACTGCCTGCTCTGCCATGAGACCAGAACTGGGTGGTGCTCAGCTACCATTCTGAACACTTATATTAAAGATTCTATAGAATCCTATGCTCTGGTAGCAAAGTGGCTAAGGCACTTGACTGCTAACCAGAAGGCTAGCGGTTCAAACCCACCAACCACTCCTTGGAAGGAAGATGGGGCAATCTACTTCCATAGTGATACTGCCTCGGAAACCCAAGGAGGGGCCACTATGAGTCAGGTCCGACTTGACGGCACATAACAACAACAACAACAACAGGGAATAGACAGACGAATCCTGATCAAAAGGGGGGTGGGGGGAAATGCAGAACAGAATTCCAAATTCTCCCAGACTCCACATTTTCTGGAACCATTGAGACCAGATGACTCTTTGAAATTATTACCCTGAGGAAACCTTTAAGCCTTGAACCAAAACTATCTCCTGAAGTCATCTTTGAGTCAAATAATAATTTAGCCTAATTAGAAAAAAATGTGTGCATTTAGCATTATATTATTCTAAAGAATCATCTTTAGGGGACTAGTCAGTTTGTGTTAATAACAGTGAAACAGTTTGGGAAAGGTTGATGAGGAAGGAGGTACAATTTGAAAAATGTAACCAATGTCAAGAAATTGTACATGTAGAAACTGTTGAAGTGGTGTGTGTTTTGCTGTATACGTTTTCACCAAAACTAAGTAATAAATAAAAATTGAAAAAGGGGGGGTTTAAAAAAAAAAAAGAAAGCATCAAGACTGACAGCACTAAAACAAAATCTACAGTCATCAGAATATTTAACTGAAAAAAATCCCAAACCACTCCCTGACTTTCTCTATCACTTCCATCTAGTTCTTTCTGAAATAAAGGTATATCCAAAAGTCTGAGATGGCAAGAAAACATACACACACATACAATACATTTCTCCTACTGAGGACTGTGTGTAGCAGGGCAGATGTGAGGTCTAAGTGCCTGATACATGCACCTAACGTGTATTTATGATATGTGGGCTATGCTGGAGCTCTGATGGCACAATAGTTAACACATCTGGCTGCTAACCAAAAGGTTGGCAGTTCAAACCCACAAGGTGCTCTGTGGAAGAAAGATGAGGGTGTCTGCTTGTATAAAGATTACAGCCTTGGAAACCCTATGGGGAAGTTCTACTCTGTCCTACAGGGTTGCTATGAGTTTGAACGGACTCAGTGGCAGTGGGTTTGTTGTTCTTTTTTGGCTATGCTAGGTAACTTGGTTCATCTGCGTGGAGACTGGACCGATGCTAAGAGCTAAAATTTCTATTTGTTACTTCTCCTACTAGCTTGTTTAATGACTTAAAAAAATGTCAATTCTTTAAAAAATCTTTATTAAAGATTTTATTTCTGTACATTTTTAGTGGCACAGAAAGAAAGGGAAACTAGTTGGCGCACTGGAGTCAAGAAAAGTAACGGAACAGTGAAAAGATGGCAAGAGGCCCACAGGGCTACAGAATTGCACTCTGAGCCAAAGAAAGATCTACTCCATGCTTGTCTACCACACTGCTTTCAACACCTGTCCTACAGATGCTCAGGGCTACAAGGACATCCCAAGGTAATAATTAAGGATACTTCCTAAGCACTTAAGGAGCTCTGGTAGTACAGTGGTTGCTAACCAAAAGGTCGGTGGTTCAAACCTACCAGCTGTTCCACAGAAGAATGATGAGGCAATCTGCTTCCATGAACATTTATAATCTTGAAAACCCAATGGGGGTTGCTATGAGTCAGAACTGCCTGGGTGAGAGTTTTTTTTGACTAAGCACTTATTACTATGGGCCCCATTCTAAGTGCTTTTCAGAAGTACTATCTCTTTTAATCTTCCCAACACTCCCATGAGTTGTTTTATTATTATCAACGTTTTGTAGGAACAGAAAACTGAAGAAGAGGTAAAGTTACCTGCTTAGAATCTCATAGCAATTAAGTTCAAAATAACTGAATGAATAGATAGATGGCTCAAAAGATCTAAACAAAGTATCTAAATTTCAGAACTTAAACAAAGGATCTGAAATGTCATTATGTAAAAATTATTTTATCCATATTGAAAGGAAATGACCAGGGACATATATGGATACAACCAAATTAACATTATGTAAGACTATCTAATAAGATAGGAGATTGAGCAACAGGCTAAAGTCTCAGTCCAAAAAGTACAGATGTGTTAAGAACTAAAGTGCATCCCATACCTTAGTCCTCAGAAAGACTTTTGATAAAGAGGAGAAAAACCTAAAGAAGTCAAAACTATTCTAGGAAGATAAAAGATGTACAGCAGACTACCTACATAGAAAGCAGGAAAACCAGAAACATACAGTCTGTGATTCCCAGCCACTAGAGAATATTCTGTTTCCTTTAGACAGCCTGAGATTCCATTACCTAGAAAGGATACTGTTTTGATCAGTCAATGTCTCATTCTTGAAAGGCAGGTAAAATTTGGGGCTAGGACTTAAGCTCCTGATGGGATCATTTGAGATATAGAAGGAACTGCAGAACTTGTCAGGATCTTCAAGTTGAGATTGGCAAAACCAGCTGGGTCATTACCCAAAGACTGGAATCTGACTTAGCCCCTAAACAATCATTATTTGAAAAGCTGACCCAGAAGAAAAATGTGTCAGAACCATTATTTCCAGGGCAACATGACCAGGAATTACCTCTGCTCAAAGAAGGGCCCAAAGATAAAGCTTAAGCCCTACATACATCATATAATAGCCCTGTGACCAGAGACTAGGATTTCCACTAGGAAGTACTGGAGCCACTCTCCTTGCCTTGAAGATTTACAATCCATTCTAACATATATGAAGTTCGAAGAAAGCCGAAGTAAATAAACTTTTTATTTTTGTTACCTAATTTTTCCCAAAGTTATTATCAGAGGAAAAAAATTAACTTAAGTAACTATATATACTCCTCAGAAACTATAAAGTGCCAGAGAATAATATCTTCTGGGAAATATTATCTTGAATTGTATGAGTCATTTTACTACTGGGAATAATGGCAGTCCTCACAGAGGATGAAATGATATAATAATAAAAGATATGAGCGGTCTAAATAATGCAAAGTCCTACATAAATGTAAGCCACTGACTGTATCAGGTGATGGAAGGGGACCTTAGAGAAACTACAAACAGGAATCCAAGGACAGCATTAGGAGGCTGCCCACACTGTCCACTGGGAGCTGGTGTCTTTGTTGTTGTTAGGTGCTGTTGAGTTGGTTCCAACTCAGAGAGACCCTACGTACAACAGAATGAAACAGTGCCTGGTACCATGCCTTCTTCATAATCATTGCTATGTCTGAGCCAACTGTTGCAGTCACTGTGTCAATCCACTTTGTTGAGGATTTCCTCCTTTTTGCTGACCCTCTACTCTACCAAGCATATCTTTCTCTGGGGACTGATCCTTTCTGATAACATGTAAATAAGACAAAGTCTCTCCATACTTGCTTCTAAGGAGCATTTTGGCTGTTAACCTCTTCTAAGCAGATTTGTTTGTTCTTCTGGTAGTCCACGGCATTTTCAATATTCTTTGTCAAGACCATAATTAAAATGTGTCAATTCTTTTGATGTCTTCCTTATCCGCTGTCCAGCTTTTGCAATGCATACAAGGAAAATGAAAAGACCACGTCTTGTGTCAGGTGCACTTTAGTCCTCAGAGTGATATTTTTGCTTTTTATCACTTTAAAGAGGTCTTTTGCAGTATATCTGCCCAGTGCAATACGTTGTTTGATTTCTTGCCCACTGCTTCCATGGGTATTGACTGTGGATCCAAGCAAAATGAAATCCTTGACAGTTCCAACATTATCCCCGTTTATCTGGTACCTATGTAAACGAGCTGCCCAGAGAAAAATCCTAGGCAAAGTCCACTGAGTTTGGGCTCTAAAAAAGGAATGTGGCAAGGTAGGGAGATGTCTTTTCTAAAGGGTGCTGGCAAGGTATCTGTGGTGAAATGACTTCCTTTGTGTGGCTTTTTGCCTTGGTTCTTTGGAAAAATAGCTTTAGAGATTTCTTCCCCTAAGCTGCGAGGAGTTCGTTACTTTTCCTCTAGTTTTCTACTCTACAGGGTTTGTTACTCTTGTCCAGATTGACTGACATTTCCTGGTTAAGCTGTAAACAACTTGGTTTGACACTTTTTGTTTGGTCCAGGGCTGCAGCCTGCCCTGTCATCAGTATGCACATTGTAGGGATAGGTCAACAGACTATGCAAATGAGATGGCTACTGTCTACTACGCAAATAAAGTGTCTATGGTCTACTGAGAGGGGACTGATTGGTTAGTTCATGGCACTGGTGGGAGAAGTCACACCTTGTCCAAGGAGTTATGTATATATGCAGTCAGCCCCACAGAGGTTTCAGAGACAGAAGCAAGAAGAGATGCAGCAAAAAGCAGCAGAAGGAAGAAAGAAAGAAAGGAGTGGGGAGAGAGAAAGAGGCAGCAAAAACAAAATGAAACCCACTGCCATCAAGTCAATTCCAACCTGTATTGACCCTACAGGACAGAGTTGGGTTTCCAAGGCTGTAAATCTTTATGAAACAGACCACCTCATTTTTTCTCTCAGGGAGTGGCTGGTGGGTTTGAACTGCTGACATTTTGGTTAGCAGCCCAATGCGTTATCCTTAGCATCCCAGAGCTCCTTGAAAGGAGACGAGGAACCGCCTATAAGTACTGTAACATGGGTTACACTAATGTCAGTGACAGACCCAGAAAGGGCCTAGCAAGAGCCTATGGTGAAAGACCCAAAAGAGGGGAGGACGAGTCAGTGATGAGAGATGGCAGGGCCATGAGGAGCCTGCTTTCAGGGGGATGAGAGGAGAGGCCTGCATGGTTGAGAAGAGCTGAGCAAGCGATCCTGCACTGAAGAAGGGAGACTGTGCCTACATGCTTGCTGATTCTGAGTTACAGCCTGTTGATCCTGATACCAAGTTATATTATGTTACTTCCTTAATAAGACACTAACTGTAAGTATGGCCTGTGAGTTCTGTGTCACTGCGATGGATTATAAAACCCAGAAGAGAAGTAGAAAGTGCTGTGAGAGGGATGGTTGGCATCAGGATTGGTGGAAAGGTTGGAGAGTACCTCTACTTCATGTGAATCAACTCTGGGCTGATCCTGGTCAATATCCCCCCATGAAGTTAGACAGGTTCTGATGCTGCTACTATTACTATTCCCACCATTTCACAACATCCCACTCATAGGTAGGCAAATACAGGTAGTCCCCGACTTATGACATATTTGAGCTATGACAAACTGTATTAAGACCATCTTTTTTTTTGGGGGGGGGGGTAAATTTCATCATTAGTAATAAGTACTACATGCAAGGCTGCAGCATGTAATTTGCTGATGTTACCATTTGCAGATGTTCAAAGACAGGATTTATACAGATACTGATAAAAGGCAATAATAACAATAATTAAAAAAAAAAAAAGTATTAGACTTATTTTAGAACTGACTGAACAGCGAAGTTGCCAGAATAGAACCCCATTGTAAATTGAGGACTATCTGTATACATAACGGTAGGTCCCCGAAAGTCACTTCCTTTTTGAGGGAGGTGCCTAGATGTAACAGTTCAGTCCCTACCAGTAAGGTTATACTGCAACAGGGTGGCTCCATCTGTGCTTTCTTTACGTTGAAGTAAAATATTCCCGTAATAACCAGAAACACTGACTTGGCAGAGGTAATCCAACTGCCCACTTGAAATTTCCTCCTTATACCCATAACAAATGATAATAATGGGTACTGTTATTATCAGATACTGAACCAGACCATACATATTATCAACATTACATTTAATCCTCAAAACTATTCTCTCATGAGGCAAAACTCCAGGGATACTGATGATAAAACTGAAATTTAGAGAAGTAAAGTGACTTGCCTCAGGTCTACAACTAATAAATGGGGTTTGCAAACACTTTGATTCTGCACCCACAATTATTTACAGTTATCTACATGTATCACTGTACTAAAACAAATTAAAAAGTGTAAGAGAAAAGAAATACAACTACAAATTCTAATATTTTCTTCTAAACCCCAATGAATAGTCACAGATATTATTTTGGAGATAACAGATATATTACAATATTATTTGAATCCATTTCATGTTTTTTAACCTCTGTTCTATTAAAAGCCCAAATCAGTCCAAGTTGAGACCAACTCTGCTCTTTTAAAAATCCTTTATATTTTTAAAAGTCACATAAAATGCCTAAAATTTGAGGAGTAGTTTAGAGTAGTTTCAGAAGCAAAATAAGAACTCTACTCCATCCAGTAGAGTTCTTTACTATGTATACTGGGGTTAACAGTTTTTTCTTACAGTTACTTTTGTGTGCAGCTGTTTTAGAAATTCTCAGGAAAAAACCACCTTGTATTATGAATTCCTGTTCTGTACCTTTTAATATTTCACATCAGACTGAAACTGGCAATAAAAAGAAAGCAATGTTAATTATGTATGTAACCACACGGTGCTTAAGTTTTACAGGGAATATGGGAAAAGAAATGCCTATCAGATGACGACATATACTATGAGAACAAGATCACCAGCATTCCTACTTTATCAAAAATCTTATTATTTTTCATATTCTTGGGGAAATAGTGAATATGTGGTTTTGATTAGAGATATGTTAGTGTTAATGGTCTGATCAAAAGCAGAGTTTCTAATAACATATATATGCACAAAAGAGAGAAGACAATTTCAGACTGTGTAGTGTTAATACAACATTACTTCTCAAACCAAATTCTATTAATAAATGAGCTACCTTGTTAAAAGAAATTGGGAATTCTGGATAGTTTGCTGACTGCTTTCTGTGTTAGCTGTGTTGGTTGTTGCCGTGGACTGTGCGATTGTAGTGGTGACACTGCTTGTGTTGGTACGCCGGGTTGCGTTGCGTGCAGTCTCCAGTTGTTGCCGTGCTGCCTGGGCATGCTGCCGTTCTAGCTGCAGCTGCATCTGCAGCTGCTGTAACTGAGAAGCGGAAGGGCCAGAAGAATTAAGCTGTCCTCCTGCAGAACGTCTTACTCCTGATAACTGAGATAAAAGCTCTGCCAAGAGAAATGAAGACAATTAAAGTCTACTTAAATACTCAGGAAAACAAAATGCTACAGAGGAACTTAAAAAGCATTGTTAATAGGTATGTATCTATTCAGTTGGGAGCTCAATACCCTTTAGAATGCCTCCTGGAGGCATTAATTGTTGCGTATGAGGAATGCAAATACAAATGAATATTAATCCAAATACAATTATATTTAAGCAGTCTTGATCACATTTTTTTTTTTTTTTAAATGTGATTTAGGTGACGTGTACAGAGCAAACTGGTTTTCCATTCAACAATCCATATACATTGTTTGTTTTCTGACCTTCACTGTCATTACTACAGTGTAACAGCATTCTTCCCACTTCCTCCCTAAACCCTTTCCTTCCCTTCTGACATCTTTCCCATCTCCTTCACTCCTAGCTGTATCCCTGGGCAAATGCTGCCATCTTGATGTCACATGGTTCGTTGTTCTAAGGAGTGCATAACTCCCTGAAGTAATTGTTTACCTCACAGTCCTGTCTATTGTTTGGCTGAAAGTTGAACCAGGGTTAAGTTCACTTCCTGGTTTGAAAGGTGTCTAAGGGCTACAATCCTGGGGGTCCACCAGTCTTCATCTGACCACTAAGCCTAATCTTTTTTATTAATCATTTTGAGTTGTTCCACATTTTTCTACCTGGGACCTCCTACTGTGATCCCTTTCAGAGCAGTCAGCAGTGGTAGCCCACACCATCTAGTTCTTCTGGTCTTAGGGAGTGGAGGTTCACATGGTCCATCAGTCCTTTGGACTTATGTTTCCTTGCATCTTTGATTTTCTTTACTCTTCTTTGCCCTGGACAGGGACAGTCCAACAGTTGTGCCTTAGATGGCCACTCAGACATTTTTAAGACCCCAGTTGCTACTATGATCCAAGTAGGATGTAGAACATTGTCTTTATGGACTATGTTATGCCAACTGACTTTAATGTCTCCTGAGACTATGGTCCTGAGCCCCCCAGAAATTTCTAAATTATTTGCCTAACGGACTAATCTAATTGTACTTTCTCTTAGTATTAAGTACATTGAAGTATTTCAACTACTGCTCCAATCACAATACAAGGCTACTTTGATTACTATACTTCCAGGTCCTACACATGTAACAGGCACTCAAACATTTATTAAATGATTTAATAAATTGTTCAAATTAGATCCAGGAGGCCTGGATCATTTCTAATTGTGTCTCTTGACCACTTGCTTCTGGCCTTCTTTCACTGGTACTTTCTGGTACCACTGTTTTGACAGTTACTACTGTCAAATCACTGGCAGTGATTTCCTCCCAAGAACCTGGTCCCCCAACCTTACAAGCTATTTAAAAGCCTGTTCAGATGCAGACTCTCGTTTCAGTAAGGCTGTACTCATTGAGAGTGATGTGGAATCTGTCCCTACACTTTCACCTCAGTAAAGTACAGTAATTGTCTTCTCCCGCATGAAGTTCTATGTAGTTTACACAGAACCGACTACTGTCTCAGATATTACCAAAAAAGCAAACGCTCTTTGTAATTAAAATATATTAACAGAGTAAACTTGTGTTTTTTTGCTCACTGCTACTTTATCCCAGGGGCTCATACCACTCTTTCATGGAATATATTATGAAAATTCATGTTCACTGACAAAAACAAAGAAATGGAATTTCTTAATTTCAAATTTTGCTCCCAGATATTACTTTAACCTTTGGAACTTCCTTTTACCAAAGATAAAGGGACAAAGAAATATTAACAAAACAAAACAAAGAAACACTCAAACTCAGTATATTGTTTTGTGAACAAACAAATTGGGAATTTTTGTATGCTGTTAATCTCACAATTTTTAAGAGTATTTTGGGTAAAATTGTTCCTAGTTTGTATCATGGATTTAAACATCAGTATTTCATGGTGTTCTGTAAGGCACAGGAAGGTTTCCAGATAAACATTCTACCACCTAGACACATTTGAGAACTACTGATAAACACTCACACACTTTCCAGATTCTTACCACCTGTCTGCTCGGTGCAGTTTTCAGGTTCTTAGACTACAGTGATTTCTGACCATTTATTCTGTACTCTCAATACGTGCACTCTGTTGTTGTGGGCTACCCGGGTTGATTGTATACTAGACCAGAGACTTAGCCTCAAATTACATGTTCAAAAAATTTTTAAATAAAAATTTCCCAAGTTATTAGAACATGTGGTTTTCAGTATATTCCACAACAGTACAGTTATCATATTAAGGCAAGGACGAAGAAATTCCTACTTTATTTTCTTCTGTGAAAAGAACATTATCTTTTAGTCTTGACTTTCTTTTTAATCTGTGTAACTGCAGAATTCAAAACATGGAATTTTGGAGGTCTTTCAATTCTGTGATATTTTATTATTTTTGCAGGCTTCAAAGGAGGCCACAGATATAATAAGAAGTCATTTCTTATTATCTTATGCCATTAAGTGCTTGAGGAAATGCTGGAATAGGAACTACTTTATGTTAATTGCATTTTTAACATATTTTACATATTTGGGAATTTTGTGAAGGAACACAGAGCATAATCAAGGAATAAGACTAAGACACAAAGTCCACACAATTTTTTAAATGAATCCCCCTCTCCCTAACTTTCTTTATTAATGTGAAACTAACTTACCAGCTATAGGATCCATGGCTTCCCTATTGCTTGGAGAATATGAACTCTGAGAAGAAGAAAGTCCACCAGTAGAACTGCTAGTAAAGTGCATGTTTGATCTACGAGCACGAGGACCTCCTAATCCCCGGCCAGGGTGAAACATTCTACGTACATGTCGAACACCACTCGATTCATCATAACTCAAAAGTTAAGAAAAAGACCAACGTATTTCACAGAAAGAAAAAATATCACTTGAGCTTTTGCTAGAAGATCTTCTAACTCTAAGTTAGTTTAAAATAGCACACTTAATTTAGAATGCAAATGTCCCAACTTTATCTACGAGGGCTAATAAATCCAAAAAACACTCAAATACAAAACAATGTGTGAGTGTGTGTACACACTGCGTGTGAATGTGTTTTCAAGATAAAGTTCCTCCAGGTGAGAGAAACCCCTTCCTAGGCTCTGGCTACAATGACCAGAGTAACACTGTCAGACAAGGTCAAAGGTGTTGCATTGTTAGACATCCAGGGTGAAACACTCCGTTAAAGTGATCTCAGTAGTGAATTCCATATATTTCTTCAGGCTTCTTCTGAGGAGTAGCAAAATAGAGATTTGAATTTCTTGTTAAATGGACACAAAGAAGGACCATCATATCAATCAAGAAGTCAAGTTCTGAGAAGCCTCAACCACCTTAAACAGGTAAGTGTGTGGGTCAAGCTGAAGAAGGTCCTGAGTGGCAAAGAGCAGTCAAAACTCATCAATTATCTACCTTTCCAAACAGGCAATGTATGAAGGAAAAGCTAGACATTACAGCAAACAGAACAGCTATAGAATGCAGCTATTCTTTTACAGGCTTCCTACTGTTTCAGCTGATGGTGCTGGACGCATTTAGTGACAAGGCAAATGATCCCTTGAGGCCCTCAGGTACCACTGTAATGTGTACCGTTTCATCACAAACAGTATTCATGATGACAGCACGTGTTCTACAGACAGTGATGCCATGATCATTAAATTTTGGTTTTAAAAAATAGCTGGGTGTGAAATACACATTAGAAAAAACTTCCATCAAAATAGTGAAAAAGAAAAAAGATACAGAGCTTAAGATATAAAGGCTTACACAGAAAACATTCCCTGATGTCAAAGTTACTACATAGTAACACCTGAAGTACCTGAAAAATTAAGCGTTTTCAGGGAAGCTGCCAAGACAACATTTGGATTTCTAGAACTTAATGCTAACACTTACTAGAAATCTAAAATGTAATACATGCATTCTCTTATCCTTCTATTCTACATAATTTAATCTTTCCTTGGTAACCAGAGATGCTTACAAAAGTCTTACATAATTGAGGGAGATGATGTGGGACATTTACTAAATGGATACCGATTTCACCAGAGGTCCTTAGACTTGTGGAAAAAGTTCAGGATGTCACAGCTTGGTTTTAAGTTATTTGTTTAGTTTCTTCAAGAAGATACAGAGTGAGGAATGGATCAAGCACAACCTTCTGGGTATTGTAAAGGATTCTTTTAGGCAAAATGCAAAGTGACTCAAAAGCTTAAGTATTCTTGACTGATTTGGGTTTTCTTATTCTCTAAAAAATGTCACTCCTTTCTTCCTTTTGCTTCCAGTGTCCCCACAGCTAGAGAGAATGATTTCCTTTGTTCACTACATACTAGCCCCTAGACTAACTCAGGTTAGGCTAACATTCTAATTGCTCAGGTTGGTCCTATTATCTCTTTCTCCTTATCTTCCCTTAAATCTGAAGAGTCCTATTTCCAGTGAGAAATCAGGAACTGTGAGCCAGGAATAGAGACTGTAGGACTAGAAAACCATGAACCCAGTTGATTTCACAACAGGTCTAAAGTTGAATTATCACTGCCAGGAAGCAATCAAAAGAATGAAGATTAAGTTTGGAAGGGAGAATAATTCTGATCAGCTCTTAAGTTACTTTAACTGGCAACCACTGAAACCTCTACATAAGAACAAAACCCTAAATTAATAGGTCATGTTGTTGTTGTTGCTGTTATGTGCCGTTGAGTCGGACCCGACTCATAGCGACCCCACCTTGGGTTTCCGAGGCAGTATCACTACGGAAGTAGATTGCCCAACCTTCCTTCCGAAAAGGTGGAATGAGGGACTGTTGTTGTTATGTGCCATCGAGTTGGACCCGACTTATAGCGACCCCTTCTTGGGTTTCCAAGGCAGTATCACTACGGAAGTAGATTTTCCAACCTTCCAAGGAGTGGCTGGTGGGTTTGAACTGCCAGCCTTCTGGTTAGCAGTCAAGTGCCTGCTAATAGGTGATAGTTTTAGAAAAACAATACAAAACCTGAAACCAGAAAGAGTAAGTCTACACAATTAATTCCTCTGGTTGGCCAGTAATCTCTTACAGATTACCAAAAACTCTGCTAGGAACTGTTGAGAGACAGGCTTGGGAAGGAAATGCAGAAATGAAAGTGAAAAGGAATTTAGATTTGGACTTGGCCTTATACTACCCCACTCAGAGAGCCAAAATATGGCTCTCTCTGGAGAAGAGGACCATAAAAGGGAAAGGTGCTCCAAGATACATGCCTGTCCTACCATCCCACCTCAGACTAGTGTTAGGAGCAACGGGGTAAATCAGCAGAGGAATAGAGAGGGCAAATGAGTGAATCCTCCATATATTTAAGTAATAAAATTTTAATCAGGATTAGTATTTATCTCTTTTGGTATGAACACATCTTCCTGGAGGACACATGACTTGGTCAAATTGCCTTAAAAAAAAAAATTTATGATTGTAATGAACTAAAGTAAAGATGGGCAAGGCAACTTTCACTTAATAAATATGGCTCATATGATAATGAGAGCACAGAAAGAAACCTAAGAAACTGCATCTTAACACTGAGTCATTTTTAGGAAAGGGTTGAATAAATAATAAAAATTTGGAGATTAGTTTTTCTCTCTTTGGGGATACTGTTCTTAAAAAGAATCAAAATGACAAGTGTAATAAACAACTCTTTCCCCTGTTGCCTTTTAAAAGGATATTAAATCTCTAGGGGCTCTGTGTTCAAGTGTAAGATGAGCTGCAAAGTCATCCGTGACATGATTAGGATCGCCTCCAGGTAAAGCGGCACATATTGGACAAATCTGAAATGAAAGTAAAAAAAAAAGCAGGTTTAATACATGAACCAAATGATCAGACATCTTTCTGGGGTAGTCTTTTACTATTACCAACTTTTAAACAGATCAAAGAAAAAAAAAAAACCAAAAAAAAAAAAAAACCCAGGTCCTGAACTAGTGGGAAAAAGTGGAAACCTAATAAGAATTATAGCATATCAATTCTATTGCTCGCAAGTGAAACCCACAGCTGAGTGTGGCTGCAGACATGCAGAAACCCTCCCAACAGTTCTAGGTAGATGGTTCAAATTTGATTCCTGGCAAAGCATTCTAACCACCTGGCCAATTCATTTCTATAATCTAGCAAAAAAAGTTTCCATTTAATAATGTGCTATTTAGTGCACATTCATGCCTAAGTTAAGTCTTGAATGGCAAAGATTGAGATGTAAGTTTATGGCACAACTCCCCTCCCCCTTCCAAGTAAACTAGAACTGAGGGCCAACCCTCATATAAGACAGTAGAGGTCTGGTTAAAAGGCAATTGCAAGATTGTACACTTTGAAAGTGATATGGTGTCTTAGTTCTCTAGTGCTGCTATAACAGAAATACTGTAAATGGATGGCTTTAACAAACAGGAATTTATTCTTTTACAGTTTAGGAAGCTAGAAGTCCAAAGCTGGAGTTCTTTCTCAAAACTTCTCCATGTTAGAAGCAGGTCACATCTCAAAAGTAACACCCCTTCAAGTACTTTGCTGCTCACAGCAGATTCCACCATGGAGGTGATCACAGTCTCATCATGGGAAATAATTATATCCAGCTGCCAAGCCACTCAAGAGGAGCTTTGGCGGTGTATGGATAAGGCATATGGCTATTACCCATAGGGTCAGTGGTTCAAAGCCACCAGCAGCTTCGCAGAAGGAGCATGGGACAATCTACTTCTGTAAAAATTTACAGACTGGAAACTCAATGGTAATCTTCAAGAGTCAGAATCGACTCAATTGCAGTGAGTTTAGTTTTTTGGAAGCCACTCAAAACTATGGCCCAGCCAAATTGACACACAACCTTTACCGCATAGGGTAAGACAGACGATGATTACTGCTAATATGCAAATGTGCTCTATAAATTCATGAATAGGATTTCCAAGGGAAAAGGGATAAGAGGAGCCCATTTTTCAGAGCCTGATTACTCAGACACAAAAAGAGAAGGAGACAAAATTAGGAGAAAACTGGGGGTAATGAATTAAGGAACCAGAGGTGGGAGAGAAGCCTGTGACCAAGTCAAGGTCAAGGTGCAGAAGACAAACTTCTCTGTGGGTTTTAGGGCAAGGGATATAGAAGGACAAAGTAGAAATAAAATGCCAAGTACAGAGGCAGAGTCCAGGACAGGAGGCTTAGCAGGTTGGGAAGGTGTTTTCTGAAATAGCAGTTTCCAGAGAAATGAAATAGAAGGCAGGAAGGGGAAAGGATAGAAAATATGAGCAAATTTAAAAGGAAAGGTTCTTACTAGTCCAGAAACCAAAATGGGCAGATAATGGTCTAAGAATGGTAGCGAGGTCTCTAAGTAATGAAGAACGTTAATTTTAAAAAACAGGGCCAAAAAGAAAGGTCTAAAGTGAAGAGGCATGACCAAAGGGAGCCCCAGGAAATGTAGTTAAAGCTTTAGGCTTGTGCCAGGGGTAACAAAGTTGAAGATGCGATATGTGATTCATCCTGTCAGTACATGGACTATGCACCTACATTCTTTTAACCTGAAGTAAAATTCAGGTCATCATTTGATCTTATTGTTTCCCTATAGAGGAGTGGAGAAAGGGGTAACACTGGAGATAAGGAGGCAGGGGTTAGATGAGACTTGGAAGGATTATGCTAGAGTACGGAGGGGAGAACAAGCTCCTTGGACACTTAGCACCTAAGCAAATGTGAGGAATTCTAAGAACTGGAAAGTTGAAGTCCTGAGAGTTTGACTCTGATTTGATACCAGTTCTGCTTATGCCCAGTCACCTGTCCTGATCACCTGCCTCAGGACTCTCAGAATATCAAAAGTTAACCAGGGAATTGCCTTAAAAAAAAAAAAGCAAAGATGCTCCGAAGAAATAACACTTAAGCATGACAATGTGCAAAAGAATGAGAGAGGTCACAGTGGAATGTGCTTGTGGGGCAAAAGGGAGACAGAAGTAGACAGATATGTTCCCACCTTTCTTAAATGTCAGAATGGTGGTCAAACATTTTACCTCTGTCAGACAGAAAAGGAATTGTATCTGTTTACTCTTTCTTTATGAAGAATTTTAGGCTTATTGTCTATACCACTCCTGTGTTTTCTAACAAAAAGACCAATAAGGTTTATAGAAGCAAAAACAAGCTCCAGGTACTTAAAAAGAAAACAAGCATGCAGTTTAGGTATTTTTTGAGATTCTTCATTTTGCAACAATGACATTGAATTTTGCTACAATATCGTAAGATTGCATAAAATTTCTTATCTAAATAGAAAATAATCACCAAAGGGAACGGGCATCTTCCTTCTAAAATGTTTCCCTTTAGATTGGCTTTTGGATAAAATGGGCACAACTTGAGTTGCACACAGGTGGCTGCCTGAGCTTTAGTACCTTGAGGCCACAGTTAAATGTTCTTAGATGAGAACACTTCCTTGAGGATATGTATTCCTGGCAGACAGACAGAATGGGAAAATATAAACACCAAATGTACTAAGACTGTCCTAATAAGAAAGATAATCTCCTAACTAACAAGAAAAGCACCTTTGGAGTTCCGGCAAGATGGCGGACTAGGCACGAGGACTGCACAGACGCTCTTCAACAAAGAAAAGGGAAACCAAT